TCAGATCTGTACCTCACTGTCCTCAAAGGAGCTTCATCACCTGTAATGACCTTTAGGAGACAGTGAGTCATTATGTCGTTTATAATAAACTCATGACAGATGATGAGGGACGTGTGGGTGGAGGTGGATCCTGGTGGAGGTCTGTGCAGAGGGTCCTCTGGGTGGAGGTCTGCAGCCACACTCTTGTACACTTCTTGTACAGTACAGTGAAAGTAACAGTCATAAATATAGTACATCAAATCAAATAATTTATTTCCATGTACATAATCACTGTATTGATACTTTGGAGCTGATGTCATCAACAGTTTCTCAGTGAGTCACTCTCACCTTGTGGTTGAAATCAAACTCCTAAACGGGACCATGAACACTCATATTGATCACAGGCTCCTGAGAATGTGGTTTAAATGAGTTTTCAGACTTCAAACTTTTTTGTCTTTGTCTCCATGGTAACTCCTAAACATTTCACCATTAGAGGCGCATGTAGAACACCCCCAGCGTGATGTCACTGCCAGTGTCAGGAAGGTTACTTTTAAAATGTATTCTCCTACAGATTTACAGATTACATACCCCAAAATGTAGTTTGTAACGTAATCTATGAAGTTACTTAAAGTGAGAAATGTAATCTGAATACTTTGGATTACTTGATTTGTAGAGAAGCAAAGAAGAGGAAATCATAACATAAGATGTTTTATCTGCTAAAAGAAAATAAAAAGCCCAGACTTTACTGAACCAAATTAAAAATATGACTGATAGAAGATGAGGAAACACGTCCACACAGCAGGATTTAGTCCTGTTAAATCCTGTTTAATCCTGTTTTAGAAATGGTTTAGTCCTGGTTTAGTTCTGGTTTAGTCCTGGGTTTAGACCTGGTTTGGACCTGGATGTAGACCTGGTTTAGTCCTGGTTTAGCCCTGGTTTGGACCTGGTTTAGTCCTGGCTTTAGTCCTGATTTAGACCTAGTTTAGACCTGGTTTTAGACCTGGTTTGGACCTGGTTTGGACCTGGTTTTAGTCCTGGTTTAGTCCTGGTTTAGACCTGGTTTTAGACCTGGTTTAGTGTCCGGCAATGAGTGGAATTACCGAGAAAAAAAAAAAAAAAAAAGATTTAGCCCAAAATGTGAAAACAGGAAAATCCCTCTGTGTAATCCATGTATTTCAACAAAGTAACTGTAATCCAAATACCACTCAATTAAACAGTAACTGTAATCGAATACAGTTACTCATCATTTGTACTCAGATCACATATTTCTGGTACATGTAATCTGTTACTCCCTGACACTGGTCACTGCTGTGTGTCAGCTGTACACCGTCACATTAGACAGCGGTAGTTCCCATGGAGACGTGACCTGTGTGATACTCGGGCGGTTTCACGTTCTTCACATAACTCTCGTGATCATGTCGTGAATCACTGCGGGGAGGCACGAGAACGCGATCAGTTCCTCCCGTGTCCACCGGGAGGGGCCCTGCTCACAACAGAACGCACACGGAACTCTTACGCACGTGGACGCGCACCCAGCCTGTCACTCAAAAGTCAGCCCAGCGGCACATGAGGCACTGTACTGTACGACAAGACGCGCCGTGTCCCCCCGGATCCACCGAACACTAGGACTGTACAGAAACCAGACACCCGACAAAACACACACATGGAAGAAAACCAATCAAACTAGCACTATAAATATTCATATTAAGAACAGTTGTTTCCTCTCATCATTTACTCACCAAAGGTCCTATTTGGAGTGTTTTGTAGATGAATCCCTATTTTCACCTCCACGTGTACACGCCCACTGTGACGTATGCACTTCGAGCTCCAATTTTTTGTTTGTTAATCAGTGATACAAATAAATAAGGATACACATGTATGACGGACAGTGGCTTTCCTGAATGTCAAGGAAAAGAGCACATAGACTAGTGTACATGGACCTGGTTTAGATCTGGTTTAGTCCTGGTTTAGTCCTGGTTTAGACCTGGTTTAGTCCTGGTTTAGTCCTGGTTTAGTCCTGGTTTAGACCTGGTTTAGACCTGGTTTAGACCTGGTTTATGGTCTGGACCACTATGGAAGTTACCTGGACCACAGAGGGATTACACACTCACATAAGAACACATGGGAATAGAAAAGAAAGTTCTATTATTTAATGCAGAAAAACACATTGTATTGTCTAAATAAAGTGTTTTATTATAATCATTGCATCTGAGTCAGTATTGAACATCGAGTCTGTTCCTGCTCCTCAAGTCTTTGTTACTGAAATCGAATTTGAAAACTTAGCATCGTGACAACCACTGCTTTAAGACAATTAATGTTTATGACATTTTAAAGCTGTTATATTCTGACGGGGCTGATACTTGTACTTACATTTTTTTTTATAAAAAATAAAAAAAATATAAATTTTTGTTTGTCCAGAAATCTGTAACCCACTTATTTTCTGTCAAATCAACCATTCTGAAAACAGAATCTGAAACAGTTTATCTTCAAATCCACAAATAAAAAAATAAAAATAAAAAAAAAAAAATATATATAATAATAATAATAATAATAATAAAAATCTTATAGGATTTTTGAATTCCACCTGGACTTTTTATTTATTTATTTTTGCCTCATTACAAGTCTCTAAATCCCTAAATCTCATGTTTAGCTCACTGTTGTGTCTCTCAGACCGTCCCCCTGGACACCTGCTCCACCTGCTCCACCTGCTCCACCTGCCCTCATATTTACCCCCAGAATTTACACGCAGTTTGAAATCTGACGTTCCTCTGTAGAACCTGAGAGCAGAGACAGGTGGAGGAGAACGCAGACCAAAACTCTAGAGCCTCAGCTTCACAGAGTCATTTGTCCGAGCTCAAAAAGTTTCACAAATAGATTCTCTTTCATGTGATCTTAGTCTGATAAAGCCAAAACTAAAATCTAACCATGTTAAAATGACTTTTGAATTTAAAAAGTTCTATTAAAACTTGAGTAAATTTCACTTAACAAGCAAAATGATGATGGAACAAGACTTTTCATACCTAAAATATGAAAATAAATACATCCCACTGCAGTTTAGAAAAACAACAACTCTGCACTTAAAATAAGAAACAAAATCAAATGTTGCTTGATTCAAGAAAAAAAAACACATTTGACTTGTCAAGTTGAAAAAATGGTCCGAGAGGGGTTGCTCAAATTGCAAAAACTAATTTGACAACAATAACATGACTTTTTTACGTTTCTCTGTCCAGCATGTTTAAATCTTACAAATGCCGCTTGATTGTGGTCGATGTGAGACCTGCAGGTTTTAATCAGGCTGAGGAAACATGACTTTATTATAATCTGTGGTGAGGCTCCTCCCTCACACTGGACACTTCACACTACACTCACCAGGAGGACAGACAGAGGAGGACACAGGACAGAGACAAGGAGGACAGGACAGGACAGGAGCAGAGGACACACTGAGGACACACTCAGGACACAGGACAGAGGACAGGAGACAGGACAGGACACAGGACAGAGACAGGAGCAGAGGACACACTCAGGACACAGGACAGAGACAGGAGCAGAGGACACACAGTGTGGAGCAGGAGGATTATCAGAGCTGATCTGGAGGTGAGACTTTTCAAAGATTTTATCTGTTTCTCTGGACTAGAATGTCGTCATTGTTAAAACATGTTTGTGGTGTTTGATTTGAAATTAGAGTTAATGTAAGAACTGTTTCCATGAGACAAATTGTCTTTGACTGTCCATCTACAAGAGTGTGACAGTTGTATCAGATGTGAATGTGTTTGTTCCAGAGTCGTCTACAAACACAGAGTGACGTCCAGGTTCTGCTGGAGCTGTGGGGAAGTTCATGAATGTTACAGCTGATGTTTCAGATAAAAGGAAGATGTGAATGTTTCAGATAAAAGGAAGATGTTTGAGAACAGAGCACAGATGAACAAAGTAAAGTAAAACAAACTAAAATGATTTTAAAAAAAAATTTTCAAAATGAACTTGCTACTGAAACAGTTATTGTGTTTCTACAGGGTGATGTGGCACTAGGAGATTTATACCAGATGCCCTCCCTGTTACTGTGTTTAGAGGAAGAAAAGGAGCACACGGTGAGTTTTGTTTCTGCAGATACACTTCTAATGTTCTTGTGATTCTGTTCTGGTCCATTACAGGTTCTTTAAATGTATTTAAACATGTAGAACAGAGTAGATGATCAGAATGTGATCATCATGTGTTATTCTGTGTCCACAGAGACCAGAGCTTCACTGGAATAAATCTTCACACTGTCCAGCTCCAAACTGTGTGTCTCTGTACTTGTGTGTCTCTGTGTGTTTGAGATTTGTATTTTAAGACAAAACAGAACTGTTGAAAACTAAAGACTGTTTTTGTTTTCTTTTACAGAATTAGATCAATTAAATTAAATTATACATACTTATACATTTCATGATAAGGTAACATAAGATAAATATACATATTCAGCATGATTTGATCAAATTTCATCAATATGAAAAAGTGACGTTCATGTTCTGAGAAAAATATGTGTAGAGGAGATCGAAATAAGTTTCAAAGCCTAAACATCATTTTATTTTCATGCAACAGCTTTTTATAACTTTTTTTACGCAAATCCAGTGACCTTTTTTCCCCCAGTGTACTCAAATAAAGCCAAATGTAATTAATTTAAGTCACTTTAACTTGGCTAGATATTGCTTTTTGCAGTGAAAACACACGGTTTTTTTTTTTTTTTTTTTTTTTTTTTTCTTTTTAACTTAGATTTTTTTTCCTCCCTTCTGATTATGATTAGGCTCTGTTTCATCATCACATACACTATTAGAAAACACTTCTAGCATCTTGTAAAGTGTTTTATTGTTACAAATAACTGACCCAAATCAGTTTTACCATGACTAAAACGCCACAGATTCCCACGGGGCCAGAGCAGAGAGCGTGCACTATTTTTTTTTACAGTGCGCCGTGCGTCTTCCCTATTGTGAGTGCGCCTGGGAGCGGAGCGCGGAGGGGCGGTGCTGCTCCTGTCCCCAGCCTGCCTCACTCCACTCTGCGCCCGGCTACACTCCACATCGTACCGGAGCTCCCAGTCCCTCCACCGTGTTTCCAATCCTACTTTTTAATCGCTCTTTTCACTTTTTTCGTTGGAGCATCCCGCGCAACGAAACTTCCTTAACCCATCGGGACATGTGACTGGACAACCCCGCCGCTTCTTTTCGTTTCTTCCCCTAATCTTTTCCACACTTCTCCAACTGTTTCCAAGCGTTTACAGTTCGCGAAAGACGACTCGAAGAACGAAGAACGACTTGGAACCCACTCGTCGTAGAACAAGAAGCGACTTTGACGAGGAGCCGACGCGAGAGACGAAGAAGCGGCGGCACAGCGCGGTCAGTCAGAGCCGAGAATCGACGCCAGGACTCGGCCAGCGGTGGGGGGAAACATGCCGCAGGTGGACATGCTGCTCGTGGTCTTCGTGCTCGTGTTGCTGGGGGTGTGCGTGTACGGTCAGGACCCGGCTTCCAAGCTCGTGTCGGACCGGTACGTGGTCTACTGGAACCGAACCAACCCCAGGTAAGAGACCGGGAGCGGCGGGGCGAGCTGAGCTGTGGTGACCCGGGGGTGGCGCGGCTTGTGCGGCACGCTGCATCGGCTCACACCGGGGTATAGATAGGTTTTGAATAGACTCTTGTGTAGCCTATGGTTGAGCCTATGCATACTGATTAAACAGAGCAGGTCGATATGAAAAATAAAAACAACAGCCTGCGTAAAGCTCTCGTATGTTCGGAGGAGATGTTTCAGATAAGTCAGTTAAAGTCTTTCTAAACTAAAAAAGCTAAATTGCACAGCCTATTTAAATCCGTAAAGGCAAAAACAATGCAAGTTTGCCAAAGTTCAAACCACTCCAGGGAGCAGCGGAACTTCCTCTCAAGTGTCACCCGGGCAAGGCGCTCTGTTTGCGGCATGCTGCCAGGGCACGCATCGCTCTGTCTACATTGTGCCAGTTTTTTTTTTTTTTTCTCCCTCAAGTTTTAGAGTGAAACTTAACAGACTTCTTGTATATGTAATTTAAGCGTTTAACTCACATTTGAATGAGTTTAAAGTAAGAATTACGCAGACTGACCATTGTAAACAGCACTGAAGTGTGGTGCGTTACGCGTCTGTGCCAAATCTGACCCGGGGCGAGAGGCTCTTTACGCGGCGTGCGCACAGCTTCATTCACCGCTCTGTCACAAAATGGATTACAAATTAGTATTTTAGTTGTTTGAAATTTCAAATTTATCAGACACGAATCAAATTGAGTTTCCTCTGATTGGCGTTGCCTGTTGTTTTTTGGCTTCCACCTTTATCTGACCATCTTATCCGCGTATCAAAATGCATTCGTCATTTCCTTAGTTTAGTTAGTGAATGTCGTGACCTACTTGAGTGAGATGATTTGGATGTAGGCCTTGTCGGTGTCTGTGTGATTTGTTTTAACGGTTAGTCTAGAGTTTGTTTCTTGAACCTTGTGGACGCGTAATTTTGTCTTGCTGGAGTGGGCAGGCTGCTGTGTTTGAGAAAACTAAGTAGGCTTAATACTCTTTTAAACCACCATTACACTTTCGAAACAGTGAAGATGGAATAACACGTAAAATAATGAAGAATGAAGAATGATTTGACTCGTTCTGACCCTATGTTTTCTTTTGTAAGTAGATGCTTTGGTACATTATTATTTGATTATTGTGCATTGATGTAACTGGACTTATTTTAACATTTTCAAGCAACTTGTTAGAGTTCCACCAGTCTGACACCGGTATATGATCAGCTCTGATACTGAAAAATAAACTGGATTGGATATCAGCTTCAAAATATCGGTTCAGTCGATATCCTGCTCGGACATTAGGGCTGGGTATCATTAAGAAGCGGCCGATACGATACACAGCTCGATACATAGGCCACAATACGCTTTTTGATACGGTGCACATTTGATTCAGTACGATTCGATACAATATATTTCAAATCGGTTCGATACGGTTCAGTGGAAAACGTCTAATAAATTATTTTAAGTCTGTACAAAGTGAATATGAAAACCACAGTGAAAATACCATCACAACTGTAGCTCTTACACAAAATAATTTAGAAGAATATAACTAAAAACACTCTTGGTGATATATCGATACAGCAGCCCACGATATCAATACTGTATCATTAAATTAAACAATACAATATATTGGTATTTCAATATTTTTGCACCTCCCTATTGGACATATAACCTGATGTAATAAAAGTCTCAGAATGTTTGGACTTTTATTTATTCAGAGCTGTTGTGTTTGCCTGGGATCCAGGATACACACTCGGTCTACACTTCACAAAGATGTGAGCGTGCTCAGCCGGGAATCTTTATCAGGACTGAAAAAGCCAGATCGCTGCTTCCTGACTTATTACGGAAAAATCATTTCGCCTCATCAAATTGACTCAAAACAATACAAAATATCTGAATTTTGCATTGTTTGCATTGTCACTTTAGTTTCTCACTTACTGTTTCCTGTTTGGATGTATTTCAAAGCGCGGTGTGCTTTTTACTGTCTGAGAAAAGTAAAATGTAAATGTAAAAAAACAACAATTATTTCATTATAAACAGTTTGCAGTGGTCCAAAGTTCTTCCTCACTTCCCTTCTGCATTCAGAGCGTCCTCACTACTCACCATGATGACTTTATAAGCAGAGTGGAGTTTTGTCATGACAGTAAACAACAACAACCAGCATGTTAACACACAACTCCTGGTTCTTTGACAAAAAAACTAATGCAAACACTAGGATACATGGCAAAGTAATTTTGACCCTAGGAGCTGCTTATACACTTGTTGTCCTGCTTGTCCAGGGCACATTTGGTGTAAAGTCCCTATAATACCATCCAGTGCCTCCTCATTTTCTTTTCTCTCCAGCAACTAGATCAGGAATCAGAATACACTGGACGGTTTGCAAGAACCCTGGAAGTTGTAGACCGTGTACTGGCCAGTCAGCTTTGTTTGCTGTTGTGCTGGCAATTACTTGGACACCACTGAGTGTTCCGGTGTGAGATAGTATTTTGACCCCGGGGTGAACATTCCTCTATAGTAAAGTGACCCCCCCATAGGATTGTGACTCCTCTTACTTTTTTCTTTAGTAGTTACTTATCTGATCATTATTTCTCCTGTCATTTACTTTGATTATATATTGCTACATATTCACAAACTTTTAAGGTGTTTTAAGGAATGTTGTAACGTAACGTATTGTTCAAATTGCATATCCATAAAAGTCTTGTCACTTTTTAGATTGTATTTTACATTGTTGTGGTTTTTAGTTTGCTCTGTTCAGATAATCCTTCATCATAATGTCAATTTAGGCAAAGGTGTGTAAAAATAATGACCTTGAATTTGGTCATGTTGTGTTTTCAGACATGTTGTTTCGATCATTCGTCTGTTGGGTTTGTGTTCGTCTTCTATGTTTTTCATGCATTTAAGAAAGAACAACACACACAGAAAAGGACTTATTTATTCAACACATTTAAAACATACACATGTTCACACGTCACACATTTGTTTTTGATTTAGAAACATTTTGAACATTCACTGACTCTGTTTTGTGTATCAAACTGTAACACGTCTGTGCCTTAAGTCCATCACTCATCATGTTGTAGCACGAAAATATGAACACACATCTTCATGTTACATTTTCATCTAATGCAGCAAATGTCTTTATCTAAGAGTTTACACATCACAACTATAATCAACATATTGGGGGTTAGATTATTATAGTTACAGGATTTTGACCTTTTTTATATATAATTGATCATTGTCAATATACAACTAACATGACTTCTTACTTTACATCATCAGAACTATAATAAACACGTTGGGGGGTCAGATTATTATAGTTACAGGTTTCTCCTGTTTAACTACTCAGTTGATCAGCTCTGTCTATTTGAACAAGATTCCAAATGATTAAACATCACTTTGATTAACCAACTCATTAATAATTACTTGTCTCATTTACAGTCAAATATGTTTAAACAACTAAGTCATTTTTTAACATTCAAAAGTTATAATCGACATAAAAATGCATCTGCACAGCAAAAAAGTGGAGTGTTAAAATTGACTCTCACAGAATCAATTGTAACATTTTCTCTGTGTTTATATGAGTCTTGAGTTAATTTAACATTTTTGGAAATGTTAATTAAGTAACACTGGACCAAAGTTCCTGTTTAACCTCAGAATCAAGAGTTATATTCATGTTTTGAGAGTAAACAGATAACACTTTGTAGAGTTCTCCTGGTTTAGCTAAACAACACACAGAGGGGTTTTATTTTTACACTTTATTTTAGTTAATTTAAAATGAAATTATGAACGAAACTGGTTCAAACTGGTTTTCTCTGGTGGGTGTTTGAAGTGGTGGGTTGAAGGGCCAAATGAACACTTAATGAAGTTGAATTAACTCTAGGGGAAGTTGATTTAACTTCAACCATATCAACTCTGGCAAATAACCCCAACTCCAACCTCCATTTAACTTTCAAATAGTTAAAGATAACACTTTTTGTGTTATAAACAACAGTGAAATATTTTAACCCTCCAGTTTTTGCTGTGTGAGTTCTTCAAAAAACACTTAAATATGTCAGTATGTTTTCAGTTGCAGATATAGTATTAATATTCAAAGTTTTACTATAGATTTCAAGTTCTTTATTAATAAAATATAGATTTTCATGGGGGGTCAATATTCTATAGGGGGTCAACATACTAGAATAGGATTCTGACCCCAGTTTATGGTATGTTGACCCCGGGGTCACCTCACCATGGATTCAAAATCCTATACCACACACCGGCGCATTACATACATCACGACCAAATAGCAGCGATTGGTTAAATAAAAAAAGTATCCGCCTACTGTCGAGTGAACGAATCCTAATGCTGCGAGTTCACACGGTTTCCACCAAGTGAAACCTGCTGATGAATCAGGTTACTATATTACACACAACTGATGCAATATTAGTCTTTTTACATCTCCAAAGCTCTATTCCACCTGGTGATGTCATGAAGTGGTTGTTAACAGGTACCTTTTTTTTACCTTTTAGATCAGTAGAGATTGGAAATTCCAGAGCTGAAATGATTCTAGTGAAGGTGTGTGAAGTTTAAAAACAAAGTAGAGCACTTCCTGTACCACCACATGACATGATAAGGTGGAACAGTTTGAAGGTCTGTTTTCGACGAGGAAACAACATTATAACAAAACTTGAAATACATAGGGGAAAAATCCAAAACAGGAGCTTGAAGCCACTGGTTTCAATATTTATTTTCTTAAAGTAGTCATTTCAGCTTCTTAAATGTGCTCAAAGCAATGCAGACTTTACATTTCAAGTTTATTTAGCATCTTATCTGCATATCTTTTTCCCATTCTGATGTAGATCTCATGCCAGTTGTTGGTCACCTTGTGGTCAGACTGGCCGGGGTCGCTGACAGTGGGCGCCCTGTTCTTATGCTAACGTACTTTCTCTTCTCAATAGCAGCTTTTGTCCACGCAGATTTCCACAGGCACAAAGTGAAGCCGTGAGGGAAGACAGTT